TAAAACCTCTTACCTGTCTCACTGTCTTAGGTTCTGGCATTTCCCTTATGACTTTCACCTTATCCATGTCGGGTTTAATACCGTCTCCGTTTATGACAAAGCCCAAATATCTAGTCTCCTCCTTCAGAAACTGACACTTCGACAATTTTAATTTTAAGCCGTGTTTTCTTAACCTTCCCAACACTTGTTTTAGATGGAAAAAGTGTTGTTCTACTGTCTCCGAAAATATTAAGATATCGTCCAAATATGCCATGGCAAAGCTCTCGTATCCTCCTAACACTATTGACATTAGCTGTTGGAAGATTCCCGGGGCATTAGCTAAACCGAATGGCATCACCCTGAACTGAAACAGTCCTAGGTGACACGCAAATGCGGCCTTCTCCTTGTCAGCCTCATCAAGGGCTACCTGCCAATACCCGGACCTCAAGTCCAACGTAGAGAAGTACTTTGCCTTCCCTAATAATGCCAATATGTCATCTATTAGTGGCAATGGCACCGCCAACGGCTTCGATATGGAATTCAATTTCCTAAAATCTACACAAAACGGTGCCCGCCATCTTTCTTACCCACTATTACTATTGGAAAGCTCCAAGGGGAGATCGATCTTTCGATCATCCCAGCTTCCAACATCTCTTCTACTGCCTCTTCTACAAGGGGTCTTTTATGAATAGGTGTCCGGTAGGGTTTTAATTTCACAGGGGGTGATCTCCGGTGTCGATTTTCATTTTGACTGTGTGGGTCTGGCCCAATTCCTTGTCTGACTGGGCTACCACATCTCGATTATCCCTCAGCAGACCCCCCACTCTGGTTCTAAATTGATCCGGTGCTAATATATCTTCGTCCACTATTCCTTCTGTTTGCTCTACAAGTTTTCTTCGTTCCTCTTCGAATCTCACCCGATTCAGAGTCCGTAGGGGAAGCGCTTTCCTATCTCTTCCCCCTCCTAACCTTTATAGTCTTTTTGGCCTGGTTCACCATCATAATGGGCACTAATTCAGCTTCCTCCACCACCGTCTCACACAGAGTTACCTCGTTCTCTTCTAGGCCCTTCCCTTCTACAGGGACCAACTGCAGGGGTTCTTTTCCTATTTTCTTCCCTGACATTAACCTACCCTTTCCCTGACACCGCCGTTCTAGGGGGGGTAGCTTTACATCTTCCTCCACCACTATTGTTATATCTTCTTCTGGTGGGCATCCCAATGGCGTTCTCTCGCCATTCACTATCAACACAGTGGGGTTGAACTCTATCTGGGCCCTCTGGCTCCGGAGCCAATCTTCTCCCAAGATTGCCTCCGTACACAGGTCGGGGGTTACGTAAAAATTTTGGGTGCTTCTTAATTTCCCAATCCTCACAGGGAGCCTCACCATCCCTTTTATCTTCAGGGGGGCTCCATCTGCTTGCGTGACCTCTATGTCCGCTTCCTGTAACCTACTCTTCCGTTTCACCCGCCTGTATGCTTCCTCTCTCAGCAATGACACAGATGCTCCTGTGTCTACCAGAGCTTTCATCGCCTTACCCCCTATCTCTGCTCTACAGGATAGCTCCTTCTCTTGCGTCAGCGAAGAGAACACTTGGGCTTTCCTCTTCCTGGGTTCCCACCTTTGGGTCATCGCAGCCATAGGCCCCAGTAGCAATAAATCACCTTCATTATTCTTACGATGCTGGACCTCTCCCAGTCTCCCGCGGCTGTTCCTAAGGATACAGCTTCTCTTCAGGTGCCCTGGTCTATTACAGAACCAGCACCTTCTTGCCGGACAGTTCACCGCAAAGTGGCCCACCTGACCACATGTCCAACATTTTGCTCTTTTTCTCTTCAACTGGGCTAACCTCCCGTTTACTCCCGGGGGACCTGTCCTCTTAAGCGGCTCGCCCGACCACTGGGGCTTTTATTTCCCTTCTTTTTAACTGGGCCACCTCCCTCTTAATTCCGGGGTGGCCCGCTGGCTTTTCCCTGGTCCTGTCTCTTGGGCTCGGCCTTCTTTGTTAATATCGGTGGGGCACCTTTTCTCAGCCCGCACCACTTGGCCAGGTGTCCTTTCTTTCCACACCTGGTGCACCTGTCCTGTTCGAAGTCTGGGGGCAAACCCCACTTCGTCGGACATTCCGCCGCCCTGTGGTCCTCATGCCCACAGGTCCAGCAGACCAGCCCGTATCTACCCGGCGTGGGCTTATAAAACCCATGCCTGGTTGACCATGCCTTTCTATTGGGGTCTTCTTCCCACACCTCAGGCTGATCTACTTCTAGTTTGACCTTCCGATTCCACGCGGGGGGTCTTCCGCCTTCCCCCCTTCTTCCGACCTCTTGACTTAGTATCTGTTTCCTTCCACACCTTTTCACCTTTTCCCATACGCCCTGGCTCTCCTTGGCCAGCTCTATTGCTGCCGACAGTCTCAGCGGTCCCTCTTTCAGCACGTCGTGACGAACACGCTCGTCACTTAGCGCCTCCACATACAGGTCTGCTAGTTGAGCCTGCATGACCGCATTGTCTCTAACCACCTCCGGGAAGGCCAATGATGACAGCTTCCCCGCTCGGGCCCCCAATTCTCCATGGGGTCTCGTCCCGCAGCTGTGTCAGCTTTAGGAGGGCCCTCATGGCCTCTATATCCGTGCCCTCGTCGGCGAATTCCTTGGTCAATAGTCCCTTTAATCTTTCCCAAGACAAGTGGGGCTCACTCTCCAAGAGCTCCTTCATAAACTCAGAGGCTTTCCCCTTTGTGGCATCGTATGCCAGATACAGGGTTTCGTGGTCCGTGAGTTCATAAATAACTCTGCTCTTCTCCAGGATTGCCAGCCAGTTTTTGAAATCTTTCCCACTGCCGTCAAATGCTGGGACCCTCGGTCCACCCAACAACCTTCTTAGGTCAGCTGACAACCCTTGTCTAACCCCCTCTTCATCCCCCACTGCTCTATCTGAATCATAGTCCGACATATTTAAAGAGAAAGACAATCTACGCAGCAACAATCGAGGTTGGGAAATCAAACAAAGTGTCCTACCTTACAGACGATTCTGTTCTCGTTCCTCTCGGTCCCGGGTCGTTTTGAGTCCTATTCGAAATTTCTCAGCAACAGCGGTCGATCCAGGATCCTGTCGTGCTGTCACGGTACTAATTGTGGCAGTGGCTGTTACCGCTGGTCGAAGCGTGTGACGTTTTATCCTGATGGTCACGGCACCAGTTGTGACGTCGTGGTCGCAGCGCCAGGTTCTATCCTGGTACACGGCACCAGTTGTGACGTCCCCAAACAGCACCAATTGTGACGTCCTCGCTGCGGCGCCAGCTGTTCGCTCCTCGCTGCTCCGTTCGGGTGTCGCTGCTCCAAACGTGACGTCCGCCTGTCGCGTCAGTCGTGTTGTCTCGTCCTGTGACGACCAACTGGCTTGGTATCGGTCGCGGCACCCAAATGTGACGTTCTAACCTCTTGGTGATTCGGGTGGAAATCTGGTTAGATTTGATATCAGCCTCGTCGTTCCCAACTCGTTTCCAACGCCTGGTTACCAAGGTAACTGCATTGATCTCCAGTCTGCCTACCCACGTTGTGAATTGATCTTAGACAGACGAGATCAAACAGTGGTTGGGGCCGTAATGCAAACTGAGTTCAACGGGGGTGATAATACACAAATATGCATAAAAGAAAAGAAAATGAAAACTCAAAAAGTTCAAAGTATCAAAGAAAAAGGTAACAAACTTTATGTCTAGTTGTTCGATACATAGGACTGCATCTATCTCCCGACCCGTTCTGTGGATTGTGACACGTCGTTTCCGCTAGGCAAGTTTTAACGTTTCAAGTTGTTTGCTCTCTAAGAAATTGGTGTTTCGGTGTGTCTTTGGACGAAAGTCGAAAAACTTATTTCGGTGGTCTGGTTCTAAGTCGCTCTTCAAAATAATTGTTTTTGGGTTGTTAGAGGAGTCCGGAATTTTGCGTGAATCTTGGTCAGCTATCTCGAGGCGGCTTCAACTCTGGAAGCTGGAGTCCGAACTCTGGACACTCATCTCTGCCGTCAGAGCCCGAACTGTGGATACTCATCTCTGCCGCCAGAGCCCGAACTGATTTCTGCCTGTTGGGGCCTCGTTTTTATTGACGCCGGCCAAAACCGGGGTGGTTCTGTTGGCGTCGGGGGGGTTTCTCGATAATTCTAAATACATATCCACCTCTTTTATTTCTGGTTAGGGATTTTCCACTCTTTTCCATTTTTGGTAACCCCTCCTCACTCCCACTTTCTCACCATACCTCTGAGGGGCGTGAACTGCCCTCCCCACTTCTTCGTAGCAGCTTCTCATACTTATACTCTGGATGGGGCGTTGACAGCCTTCTTCGTGCGTCACGTGATCACTCTCGGCCAATGAGGTCTTGGTCGGGTATCTTTCCTCCTCCTTCGTGCGTCACGTGATCACCACTTGACCAATGATGTCTTAGTCGGGCGTGAACAATCCGTGGCTTTGTTTCGGGAAAAAAAAAATACCTTGCTTAACTAAAAAAAAAAAAAATTAATTATCTCTTCTCTTTCCTTTTTCTTCCTTTCAAATCGCCGTTATCATTTCTCTAGCCACGAACGGACAATATGACATCTTTGTTTTACACGTGGTGTTTGTCAGGTAGTTTATCGCTAATTTATCAAGATGGTTGGTTTTCGTAACATGGGTTCAAAAAGAAATATCCCCAAAATTTTCAGTCAGTCTGTCGCCTCCAAGGAAGAAATAAAAACACTTCTGGTCCCCATTCATTTTCCTTCGGTACATATGTCTGATAACATAATTTTATTATCGCAGAGCAACGTTGTTTCGTCGAAAAAATTCAGTCAGCTGCACTGCCTTGGGTGGCATTTAATTTTCATATCTGTCCAAAGTCCTTTTTAGTGGCCTGTTTCTCGTCACTTATCGAAATAGCATTTTCACTTGAATTTTTCCTGGGCAGTGGTCCAACCATTCGTGTACCTAGATAACATAGCCGTTATCAAAACACAGATAACACAGCCTTTTTTTATCAAAACACATCATTGTAATGTTCCTTCTTTTCTTATTTATTTTCATTTCTCTCTTAGGCCATGTGTTTTTTTTACTCAGAAATTCCTGTCTTTTAATGCCTTCCTTTCTTTTTTTCTTTTCTGCCACACCATTGTTACTTCTGTTCAATATTTTCAGTTTGTTTACTTTTCTTTCTTTTTGCCAGGCCATTATTAAACTTCTGTTCTGTATTTGATGAGTTTGTTTATAATGCAGCTACTACTTCTTGTTACAATTCTGTCAGCTTTTGTACTAAAGGCGTCTGCTCAGTCGTATCTGATTCATGGTTGAATTCTTCAGATACGAGTGCTGATCTTTGGCTGTCATTCACTCTTGATGGGCATATATGTCATCTATTGCTTCTATATGTTTGTTCTGACGCGGTATGAATTTGGTTTATCGCATTTATTAGTGACAATTGCTGATGCCCAAGTTTTGTCATCTAATTTAACGTGGACGTGATCATCTGGCTTCATTGAGCAAGTTCTTTTCCCGCATGTCGGTTGTAATATTTCTTCTGCTATTTTCGATGTTCAGCGTATCTTTTTCAAACTGCAAATAGATTTTCTGTATGTCGATAGAATAAACGATGAGATGTGGATAATAATGTTCTTAGACGACGTCTCATTAGAAGGTGTGCAGATTTTTCAACATTGTCTCTTGGCGTATTTCTTAATTAGAATTAAGCAAAGCTAAGTAAGGATTTTTCTCCTCCTCTCTGCATTTTTATTAGTGCTCTCACTTGTCTGTATTTCATTGTAGGAATCATGGACTGGATGTTATGTTGAAATTCCCACATTTCGGTAAACCTTTTTAATTCTGCTGACAACTGTGAGACATTATCCGAAATCAAAATTTCAGGGATTCTATGTCTAGCAAAACAGCTTTTAGCTTTTATAGTAAAATTGATTTGATTTCTCAGTTACATCACTTTTGTAAACTTTCTATAATAGTCAATGACAATTGTGTAATTATCTCTTTTAAAGGAGAATTCATCAACGCTTAGCTTTGACCAGGCACAATCAGGAATCTCCATTAAAGGCTTTTTTTTGTTGTTTGCTCTGAATTTGGAGCATGTTGCACATTTTCAACTGCTTCTTGTATTTGAGTATTCATGCGAGACTAAAATAGTGTATTGTGGGGAGAATTAAAATAAACTAATAAATAAAATAATAATAATAAAATAGATAAATTCATTTTCCCATAATGCAAAAGAAAAAAGGAAATCAAAAAGGGTTTCCAGTCACGTGTGAATTTTATGACCCCGCTTCCCTAAAGGACATGATCGAGCTTATTTCACCTCCCAACTATTGAATTTGGTAGCCGTGCCAACGAAGTAGGGATTCGGACACCTTCACTCAACGTCAGGCTGATTTGATGTTGACCATTCTCCACAAATTCGTATCTATGTACCTACGTGAGTCAATAAATATTGGCGATTCATTTTCTAATCATGTCTTCGTTTTGTTTATTGCGCTCAAAATCTGTTAGCGGAACTAAGTCTTAATAAAACACCATCCACAATATCTCTGACTCTCTATTTGTTTATAATCACTCCTTGATGGTATTCATGAATTTTGTTCTCAAAATTCTTCATGATTCTTTAACAATCAATTGGTTACATTTAAAAAGTAACGTGGTATGCGATTTCGTCCTGAAATTCCCTGCATGATTTCACAGATGGTGGAAAATCTTTTCTTATGCATGGCCAGCTATTTAATACCACTTAAATGCTGATAGATTAGCACTTTGATATGTCGCTGCCTGGAACTGTTTTAGTTTTTCTGACGTCATTAGTAGCAATTTATCATGCCTTGCGTCAAGTTTTGTGAATTTAGTGGCCTTAACTATTTGTGTAGCTACTTCCTCAACTGTGGTAGTTGAGTAATGTTCACGCATAACAACTTAAGGTTTCTAGGATCAGTACAAATTCATATTTTATCACCTTTCTATACAGTAACCATGGAGTTTGTACCTACTGTTTAGTTATGACACCAAACTTCTCCATGCGGTCAATCACTGCTTTCACTTTACATAAGGTAGCCTTTTTTGGTAGTGTATTATTGGTGTAGCGTCTGATTTTAATTTAGATGGAATATTGACCTGGTAGCTTCCCAAAGGCTTCACATAATTGTGTATAGATTAGTAATAGGTTTACACAACAGCGTTTACTTCCACTCTTTTCAATAAGCCTAAGTTTACACTTGCATCTTTGCTCAGCCTTGGTGAAACTTTTAGATTAATAACTTGAAATATCCCGTTCCTTACTTTGCTGTTTATAGAACAGTTTTATTTGATCTTCGGGTTGTGTTGACTGTAATTCTTTCATTAGCTGTCTGTAGCAGACTGGTGTAAAATATATGCAGTACATTAAAGGTTATGTTAGCTTGTGTTCAATGTCCAGCTTGAAATTAATAGTAGTAGTGTCGTTTACTACTCTATTTTGTGTCCAGACAGATGTCATTGCATTTTTTCTAACGTGATGACATCTAAAAATAGTTAGAGGTATGATGATTCATCACTTTCCTTGGTACTAATTTCTGATACATCTCATGGTTTAGAGCGACACATACTGACAATATAGTGGTGTTTGTAGCATTTTCCACATGTTTATTCGTAAGCTGGACATTGTTTTAGTGTGTGCCCTTTTCTGCATTTAGCACATGAAATGTAACATTTAGCCTAAGGTTGGTCTTCTGATAATTGGAACGACGGGTTTTTCAATTTTCCCATTTTTTTCCGTCCTCCGTTCCGCATTACTGCCGAAATTGACATTTCTTCATTCATATTTTTAACTTGGTTCGCACTGACTTCAATCGATCAGTATTTTTCTATTGCTTTTTTAACGTTAAGTCCGTGTCACGAAGTAGTAATTCTAATAATTCACAAGTGCCTTTGTTTAAGATGTCACATAAAGTTCTGTCGTAGGTATGTCCCTTTTGGTTGTTTTTTTTTTTTTTTCAGTTGAAAAAACACATTAATTTGGAAAATCTTGCAAAATTCAAGTACTTGTTGGATTTTAATGAAACCTTCAGAACTTATTCACAAATGAATGAAATTATTTTAGAAATGTTTGTCTTTTTAAAAGTCATGGTATAAATATTTTTTTTTATATATGTTACACCCCTCGAACTTAATTTTATGAAAACTTCAAAAATTCAAAATGAATTTTTACAATAGTTTTTTCATTTTAAATACTATGACAAAATGTTGTTATATATTTTAAAATTAAGTTTCTTTATGCAACCTTATGGAAATGACATATAATGTTCTCTACTTTTTAAAGATCATAAATTTGAAAGCTTATTAAAATCTGACAACCGTTGATATTTTTTAAATAATTTTTTAATATTCCAAAATTGTCTCCAACGAAAGTATGGATGCACAGCTTTGAAATAATGTCACATGAGGTAGACTTGTTTATCTTGATAGAAGCAAGTTCTTTTTACTTCAGAAATTTTTCCTCAAAGGTAAGGTTAAAAAAATTTGAAAGTGAATCTTTTTTTTTAAATTTACTAACCAGGTTCACTTAAAATTAGAACAAATTACATCACTTCTGCGCTACCGTACAATAAATTCCCTTGATGTAAAGTTTTCAATATTGACATGTACATCAATTAACACCTCTCAATCACGCACCTAGGGAAGCACTACGGTTGGAAATATCTCTATTAAAAAATTTTCTGCTAAAAAAGTAAGTAATGTTTCTTTCAAATTACATTAAGTATACATTAATCATTCTAAATTTCCTAAGATAATAAAAAAAAAAGGTGTAACTGAATTTTAATTGATTTTTGAACTAATTTTGATTTTTTTGTTTACACACTAGGGCAGAAATGGCCGATAAATCGAATTTACTAATTTTTTTTTTTTGATTCGAGAAAAACAAGATTTTTAAATAAAATTCTTAACATTTATAGGAAGGATTAAAAAATCTGAAAAAATATTCAGAAAATACTTTGGTCTTCCCTCTTTAATACTAACATAAACATTTACACGTTAAAATTTTTTTTTATCAATTTGGGGACCTTTTTTCTCCAGGATATACCACTTTTTTTTAGCGTTAATGGGACATAAGTCATCCTGGACCTTCCTATATTCAAAGTCCTCAACCTTCAGTTATCAGTCACAAATTAGTTAAAATTTTTCTTAGGGGAACTAGTTTCTGCTGAAAAATAAATATCTTACATACGTTATATTTTTTCTCGGTCAACAGTATTCCTGGGATTTATTTTTAACACACTGTAATTTGTTCTTGTCGTCAGTGGTTTCAAATTCGAATGAGCTGAAAATTTGTTGGGCTTCATTTTTCTGAAGATATTTCAGAGTATGCACGTGCGGATTTGTTGTTAATAGCGACGCTATTAAAAACGAGGGCATACTTCATTGTTTTGTTTCAAGATCAAACTGTTGTAGGGGAGTTATAACTCTGAGTAAATAATTATAAACACCATAACATTTATACAAAAATACTCGTAAAAATGAGAAATAGCAAGACGTGCAACAACAAAATGAGATTTTATTATTTATTATCTGGTTGTTATGTGGTGTTGGAGAAACGAGAGACAGGAATACCGAGTAAAATTGTGAGTTTGGATGGCAAATGTAGATTAAATATGGATCTGACATAGTGGTAAGATAAAGAGTAAGTAAAGTTTTTTCGTATGTCTTTTTTTTTTTTTTTTATAGATGTGTGTAAATGAGTGCCCAGATCATTTAGTTAGACAATACTAGTGTCTGGGATTTTCTTACCTCGAATTTTTGTTAAATAATAAATGTTATATTATGGCTTTGAAAGAGAAAAGGAGATAAAATTTTCGTTGACGCACGTGTTAACGGCCTGTTCGTGTGAACTGTTTCTCCGATAGTGTAAATATCACGTGTTTGTGAGTGTAGAGGAGAAAAGTGGGGTCGATTCTCATTGTTTTAGAATACGTGAATTAATTGGTTTTGTACTATAATTAATTTATATTTATTTATATTTTGTATGGACACGACAAAGTGACAGTATAATTATCTTTATATTTATGTATTTCTTTATTGACACGACACTGTTTAATTCTCTGTTTTTTTCTTGTGTGGTTTGTGGACATGTTACTTTATTCTGACATCATGTTATATATGATGTTAATGTTGTGCCATGCTGGATAACTGTGAGTAACAGTGAATGACCAGACAAAATGTACAAAATGTGCGCTTACCTGTAGCAATCCCTGGCGTGACTAGTTCTAACTTTTAGTAGCAGCAGTTATTGAAATGTGATTATAAATAGTTACAAAAGAATTAACTCTCTATATATCAATACATTACATATGAGTAGCCGTGCATGATTAAAGCCATATGTGATTTCTACTTCACAATTGGATTGGTTATTGTCAAACATAGTATCACCAAATATCCACCGAGAATAACTGAAGATGTTATAACAGCTCGAAGAACCAGAGAAGCTTTTATTAATTGTAGAAATGAAGAAAAATTTGAAAACGTTAGGAAATTAGCTGAAAAGTTGGATGAAACTGGAGAAGCGCCAAAAGGTCTTAGTAATATTTACTGGAAACTTCGGAATAAACGAACAGAAAGATATAAACAAATAATATACATTTATTTAATTGACTTCGATTGAGGCGAGTCCTTTGTAAATCGGGTTGGCGAAAGTTCGTTCGGCTGAGTAGTTGTTAGTTTACGACTTTGGTAGTAGTCGGAAGTGTGGTTACTTTGGAAATATGTTCGATGTCAATCTGCGGTGTATTATCGGCCTTCAAAGAGGGCGGAAAATGTATTAAGCAGGTGACCATTTAGTTCTTCCCGCGACACTCTCGGACCGGTTTCTAGCTGTCTCCTCCATGCTGTCTTGTAAGCTGTCTCTTTATACATGATTTTAAAAGGCTCCAGACTACTTGGAGCGAAGTTTGACTCCGGCTAACATCAAAAGTTTTTTGTTCTTTTGATTGCCTAAATTTCTTTTATTTACTTTCCGGTTTTCCATTCTTTTTCTTTATTTATTTATTGCGGAGTTAAGCGTGGAGCCTCTGTTATTTTGGTAGATTTCTAGTGACAATAACTAGACCCTGAACTAGTGAACTTCCGTTTCGCAGCAGTTCAGTCTTTTCTTCCTCTTTTTATATGAGAATTGCTTTCTCATTAGTTGAGAGAGAAGAGCAAGAGAGAGAGAGAGATATGGGTTTCTTGGGGCAAGAGTGAAGAGCGAGAGAGAGAGAGAGATATGGGTTTTTTAAGGAAAGTAAATACCTTCTTTTAATTTGAAGTTTTTTAATATTCTATTATCATTTTTCTTTTTACATTTGAGCACACCACAAAGGTATTGTAATATTTTTGTATACAATTACATTTATTGTCGTTTTTTGTCGTGTTTAACGTATTTAAGATTCAACTTTGATGTTAAAACAGAATAAGCAACAAATAAATAAATGTTTAACCTATTTTACTGGCTGATGTTCCAAGATTTTAGAAAGATGATCAAGGCCATGCAGCAACGAGAGACTGGCAGTTAGAAAATAAAAATGACCACCTTTAAGCATTCAAAATGGATCACGAAGGTTACCAAAAATAAAGCGGTAAAGCCTCTGACTTGTGAAAAAATAAGATTGTAGACATCAGTTTGATTTCTGCGTTCGTGTTTTTCACATCCGACTGCTGCCTCACCTATATCACCTGTAATTTTGTATGTAATGCTAAATAATTAGTCAAAGAAATCATCCAAGATACATGATTCCCATTCAAGGAAGAAATAGTTTCATATAGAAAAATGTCTTGTCAATTGCAAGCTACAGTTGGTGAATCAGCAATGGAAGTGCTACTAAATCAAACATACCAAAGACAGTCATTTTATATCTACTGATTACTGATTATTTCAGCCTGGATAATCTTATTGTGGAAATTGCATCATGATTTAATGGTCTTTCCTAACATATGCTTTGTGTACTTGACTATATTTTCCTAGATCAGGATGAGTCAGATGAACACTATCAACTTATCACATCACATTATGGTGTTGATTTGGATCTTCTAAAGGCAGGAAAGGCACTCTACACAAAGTTTTCAGATTCATGTTTTTGTCAATTGTTTTACGTGTGTTTTTTATGCTTAAAATGTTGGATACATTAATTCCTCTGACCCCTCTTATAGAGTCCCTATAAGCCCAAGCCTTGTTTCATATGACATACAGCGTTGATTTGTCTTAGAGCTTTTAAACATTGTCATTGAAAGGTTAAAGCATTGTAGTGTTCTTTTTTAATCTATGTTCATTCTGTTTATATGTGTCATATAGAATATTCTTATTTATTTATTACGTAAACGGATTTGTTTGATTTTTTACTTGTGCGGATGAACATCTTTTCATAATGTCGTTTGAAGAAACAATTTAACTTTTACTTTTTTGCATTGTCAATAAACCTGAGAGAAAGGGTTTGTATGTTTTTTTAAACTTAAACCAATTATTAGAACAATATTGCTTGCTTTATGAAACTTAATTTAATGAAACTGAAAGAAAAATTAATAAAGATATATGTTGCGGGGCCGATAGGGAATGTCGCCCCCGCAAGTTTTTAACGAAGAAATGTGTGAATAGCTAAGACAATGAGGAACAAAGGCAGAGGTTTAGAATAACAAACATCGGATTTATTTGTCGATCTGGACAAATGTAGGTACAGGAATTGTTTGGCGTAGTTCGATCGTGACGTCAGGGAGTGCCAGTTGAAGGATGTCTGCCCTTTAGTAAAGAGCGCGTCGGCGTTTAAGAAGAGAGAGGATCGGCACAGACGGTGCCGGTGCAGCCTGTTCGTCCTTCGAATGACATTCGTGTAAGAACGCAGCTTGGTAGTTCTAAAAAAAAAGGACTTTCGCAATATAATATGGCTAGGTTAGTCCTAATAAGTACTGTCGCATATCATGTAGCCAGGCTATCCCTGAAAAGGACTATCGCATATCATGTGGCCAGGCTAGTCCTGAAAAAGACTATCGCATATAATGTTCGGCTGCTGCTGAGGTTGGGTCGGCCCGCTGCTGCTGCTGCTGCTGCTGCTGAAGTTGGGTCGGCCCGCTGCTGCTGCTGAAGTTGGGTCGGCTCGCTGCTGCTGCTGCTGCTGAGGTTGGGTCGGCCCGCTGCTGCTGCTGCTGCTGAAGTTGGGTCGGCCCGCTGCTGCTACTGAAGTTTGGTCGACTATCGCATATCATGTGGCCAGGTTAGTCCTGAAAAGGACTGTCGTATATCATGTGGCCGGGTTAGTCCTGAAAAGGACTGTAGCATATAATGTTCGGGTGCTGCTGCTGCTGAGGTTGGGTCGGCCTGCTGCTGCTGCTGCTGGTCGGCCTGCTGCTGAAGTAAGGTCGGCTCGCTGCTGCTGAGTGCTGCTGCTGCTGAAGTTGGGTCGTCCCTGCTGCTACTGAAGTTTGGTCGACTATCGCATGCTGTGGCCAGGTTAGTCCTGAAAAGGACTGTCGTATATCATGTGGCCGGGTTAGTCCTGAAAAGGCTCCTAGCATGAGGTTGGCTGCTGCTGCTGAGGTTGGGTCGGTGCGGTCGGCCTGGCGAAGGGTCGAGTGCTGCCTGGTGTTGGGGTGACTGCTGCTGCTGAAGTTGGGGGGGCTGCTCCTGCTGAGGTTCGCTTCGTGCGGTACGAGGGTCGGCGGGGCCGGGGCCAAATCAGCCGAGTTAGCAATGCCTTTTGTTTGATGATTAAAAATTACCATCAGCATTTTGACTGTACACATGGGTTTCATTTGGACCCCATGTGTATATAGAGTAGTTTCTGGTCATTAGGAGGACTTGTGTTTGTTTATGTTTCGTATGTTTTGCTTTGTGTGTCTTGTTCTCTGAAAAAACGCTGAGTCACCGGAAGTTAACGGCATTCGTTCTGTTTTCCGCGGTGACGCTTTCAGACGTTTGAGTAACCGGTAGTAACTTCCAGCCGGGTGCGATATATATAATAATTTCAAAGATTAGGAAACGCTTTTCGAAAGAATTCAGCTGCTCACTTGGTTTGCTTTAGAATCGTTAGGAAGGTGATGCCTCGTTGTTATCGAAACATTTCAACTTAATTGCTACCTAACACCCCCACACCCTTCATCAAAATAAGCAGCTAGTATGGAAACCTAATACTCACTTGCTTCGGAAAAAAAGCTTCAAGGCTGATGAAGATTATAAAATGTCAAGGATGCCATATATTAACATGTAAAATAATAAAATAGGAATTTATTCATTTATATGGAATATTCTGCTCATCAAATATATATTTTTATGGCTTATTTCTTTTGGATTTATTCATAAATAAATAAAATATTTTGCATTTTGTTCCATAAAACTTGACACCTCACAAGACACATGGTACAGTGGATAAAGGCGTTGGTTAGATCCAGTGACAGACCCAAAGAAGGTGAGTTCAATTCCTGGTTAAGGCAGTGGAGAACTTTCAGAGGGAAAATTAGCAGGAGATAACTGATAACTGACATCCATCAAACATGGCACGTGGAATTAGAACAGTCTACCCCAGTGATCGAAATAAAGGGTTCAGTTCGAAATTCCAACCACCTGAAGAAGGCCGGAGCGTACAACGGCCGAAACGTTGTGACAAATATGGCGACAAAGGTGAGGACAATAGTCCGACTAATGTAAATACTGTACATAATACCTCATCTCAGAAATATAGACAAATTTATATTTACGTCGGATATTCTACGCAGATTGGCTCAAGGATGTGGTTCGGGTATAAACATGGGTTCAGACAAAATTTGGTTAACAGAAAGAAAGCAGCAAAATAAAGGTAGCAACGATTTATCCAAATAAATGATGGACATAAGACGATCGTAACAATAACAAAACAATTTAATTTGTAACTTGAGGGAAATAGATTTAAGAGTGGAGATAGTTTTGAGGTGTGATGGAATAAAATAAAATGCTTTTAAATTCAATGTTCTAGTGAATTAATGTTCACATAAAGAAGAAAGTTATAGAGAGCGGTATCTCAGACATTTCAATGTTGAAGGCAATATTCTACAAAAGAAGATTATATTTCCTTTTTTACTTAGCTTTCTGTCCGTTAGTTGCAATTCATCTTCTTCGTTTTGCCGAGCGTCTTCTAACCGTTTTTCTTTTTTCGCAGAGCTTTTTTAAGACTCTTTTTCTTTGTTGCCATGGATATAAGCTTTTTTAAAACTCTTTTTCCAGGTTGCCATTGATATTCTCGTAACACATGGAATTTGCACAATGGGCAGAGCAGTGCACGCACCTTGTAAAAGAAGATGTAGGAAATTCTGTCGTTCAGGTTTTATTTCAAAATCCAAACGTCCGAATTCCAAACAATGACAAAATAAAATTTAGGAAAATGTGTGTCTTTGAGTAGTTGGTCTACAAAAGTAATAACAAGATCGTTTTGTATGGCCGAACATGTTCACTGAAATAAAAATAAAAAAATTGTAACACAGTAAAGCATTCACTGTTAAAAACACAAAATCAGGAAACGTACAAAATCGCCCATTGGTAAATTCCAGAAACCTGATGTTAGATTCACTCATTTGCATATGGACGTTAACAAGATGTACAAACAAGGATGTGAAGGAAAGGCATGCATTGAGTAAAACAAGAGTTGTCTCTCTTCAACTATTAATTGTTCCAAAGTTCACTGAAAGAAATAAGGTTGTAATAGTTACTAGTAATAAATGTTTTCAACAGTTTTGCTGCGTAAGAAAAAATATTATGTGAGTATAGGGAATATTCAGCATGTAAGTCGTGGTGCGAGTGAGAAGATTGGCGCATGGTTTCAACTGTCGTGGATTCGTGTGGCAGCTGAAATCTCACTATTTATCTAAGAATATCTCTTGCTTTTATAGGTGATCATCAGCCCCGAAGCGCTGCGCGGGAAGAATCATTCTTCACGTGCAGACAATCTGATTGGTTGGCATTGACCAATCAGTGAGCGAGCTTTGGGGTGACTCACAAAAACTTGTGAGATCCGATTCTCCCAAAAGTGCACGAAATCGACTACATGAAAATATAGCGATTATAAAATTGTCGCATAGCTGCGATTTATAAATTGTCCATTACACAGTAGTATTGATTTGTTATCCAATGAATGCTTGTGGTTGTATAATTTGAATTTGCGTAAGTATGTATGTATGTATGTGATGATGATCATCACAACCCCCCCGAGATTAAAGAAATTATAACAAAATTCTTTAATATGTCACGTAGGAGCGATACTTAGAAGGCCACTGTACCCTCCTACATGTTTTGGTAAATAGTGGTTCTGATTGTGAAGTGGACTACTGACTTTGGTTTGACGATGATGATGATGATGGTTGCTGCGGAATGTTGGGTTGCTGTCGATCCGGATGGAGTTGTTTGGCGGTTCGCTCAAGATATGCCGGCTTTAAACGGCCAACAGAAATGGTCAACTGGCCGTTGTGTATCTGCGCGGTGTGGGTCGGCAGCTTGTCCAATCAGAGTTTCCGTAGCAAAGCCTCTGAGATGGTGCTGTTACCCAGAAAGTTTTTCATCTTCCGAAGAAGTTGTGTTGGTTTGTTCTGGTCGAGTTGAAGCATGTTGAACAGGTCACTGATTCGTAGTTCCTATGACTTTCCGGTCCTGTATATAATAGCTTCTTTCAGAACGTCAAATGGGTTCTGTGATGGGACGTTATCGAACAAATCGGAAACTTCCGATGCTATGTCGGGAGGTAGATTCTCGACTACGTAAGTGTTATGGCCCGGTTCCTTGTACCACGGTGATAGTCCAAGGTAGAACCAACAAAGAAGAACTCGAATGCGGATATGGAATAAGACAGATATATTACAAACAGAAATATATACAGAGAAATAGAAAATGTTAGTACGGACAATCAGGTTTAGTAGTCTGAACGCGACTCTGTTTCGGACTGCCTATGACTCGACTGACTGACTCCTGACGGACTTCACTCCAGACTTCAGACTTCACTCCAGACTTCAGACGGAACTTCCCGCTTCCTCTTGAGGCGCAGTATTTATTACGTATGGAATAGTCCATTATGTTATTATGGGTAAGGTCCCATAACAATAAGCGAAACGAGCGTTCTGTGACTGGATTCTCTTGGCTTGAAATATTGCACTCAGTTGCGAGAACCAAACGTGAACGTTCATCGTGTTGAAGACAGGAAGGTTGACCAGGACTGCAGCTCCGTCACTGTCTGGGACTGCCATGTTGAGTCGCGTGAATATTCGCACGTGGTGACAAAAAAAAAAAAAAATTTGTGCGCTAAGTAGATATGCTGATTCCGAGATGTTTCTCACGATTCTCTTACTAGGTTCACTGGTGAATGAGGTAACAGTGAAGTTTTGGTGCCTTCTTAGGAAACCAAACTGACGTGAAGAAAAAGAGGATAAGCCAATGACATCATAACACATAAAATTTGTATTTAACAACATATACAAACAAGAATGTGAAAGAAAGGCTTGCATTGAGTAAAACAAGAGTTGTCTCCAACTGTCAGTTGTTCCAAAGTTCACTGAAAGAAATAAAGTTGTAATAGTTTCTGGTAATAAATGTTTTCAACAGTTTTGCTGTGTAAGAAAAAAATAGAATGTGAGTATAGGGAATATTCAGCATGTGAGTGGTGGTGTGAGTGAGAAGATTGGCGCAAGGTTTCAGCTGTCGTGGATTCGTGTGGCAGCTGAAATCTCACTATATTTATTGCACGTAAACTGTACAAATTCGGCACAAGGCCAAAAAAGGGAAAATGGGGAAAAGGACGGTTATCAATTGTCTTAAGATTAAACTTAGCTAGTCACAATCACTGACCCAGGCATACAAACAATATTCCTTTCACTAAAACAAAGCATTCTTACTTACCATTCTTACCTCAACCACCATAATGCCTCAGAAACTCTATGTAATCCTAAAGTAGTCCTCATATTTTCAATTCATTGTCTGCGATGGGAGGGGGAATAAAAATAACAATTTAAAAGCCTAAAACCCCCAATGTGTATTTACGTATGTATACAAAACTATATACAAGAAACTAAACGAAAATTGTGTTAGTAGTAAAACCCCCCACAGCCCTAACTGTGGTAGAAACATCAGTTAACTGGGCGAAATCAATGCGGGACTTTAACAATACAAAACATTCGTACAAGCCATGCACTCACTACAAACACACACTCATTCAAACACAACAACAAATACGAAGGACACACTCGAAACGAAAGGCGCCCCGCACCCACCAGAGAACTGATATCACTAACCACCTAACGATGGGAGGGATGGGGAATTAAACAACAGAAAAAAAATAGGGCCAGAAATAAAAGGGGCCAATGTGCATACATACCCTAGCTAAATTAACATGAAAAAAAAAAGGAAAAAGAAAGCTAAAACAAAACCGACCTAAACTAACCTATACACGGGAAGGGTTGCCAGTGTTCAACCCAGCAATCCCAAAATTCTTAATGCCTAACCGGCATCAAAATGCCACTCCGAATTAGCACCTTTCACTCGGCAGAGACGTGCAAGACTCACCCATCTTTCGCCAAATTCCAATGGATGGAGTCGTTTCCTTTCCGTCCTGATCTTGACTTTAAGCTGATGCTTAAAGAACAAGATCAGTTGAGAAGAGGTAAACTTCTCGCGCCCATGAAATTACTCCTGTCGCGTCATCCATATCACGACTCGCATAACCTCCAGTAAGCAAAGGAACACACAGTGCTTAGCCTTAGTCAACGGCGGTACTACAGGGGGCCGACACTATTTTTCAGACACTTTATTTTTTCAAGTTTTAGATAGCTCAGGCAGTCTGTACTGTTTTAGTGTAATGGCAATAACATTTAAAAACTGTTTCAATACTACAAATGGAAAACAGAATTCAAATTAGAAGTATTTTTTATTTTTTTTACAAATTTTTATATTACACAGGCGACAGTATTTTTCAAACATTGCAGAAACAATGCTAATAGTTTATGGCAGTACCCTTTTTTCAATGACTTCTATCAGTCTATCTTCATAATGTTCGTACATATTGATAATAACATCTCTTCGTGTTTCTAGCAGTCTATTTTTAGCATCTTGTATGCGCTGCCACAGTTCAGCCTCTCTGGTTATTTCTGACCCATCGTAAACAAGCTCTGCAAGCATTTCCCATATGTTTTCAATTAAATTTAAGTCTGGACTTCTTGCAGGCCATTTCCAGAGTAGTTATATTTACGTCACACATCCAATTTTCCACTGATTTCGCCACATGGATGCTGCAGTTATCTTGCTGCAAAATAAAATTACTTCCCATTTCTTTTTCTATGAGTGGCAGGGCTCTCTTTTCCAAAAGTTCTCTGTAGCTCAAGCTATTTTGACGTCCTTTTAACCACTCGAGCCACAAATTTCCATTCAGAAATACCATACCCCAAACCATGACTCCTCCTCCCATCTGTCTCTTGTTGAGAATAACAGGTTCACCTTTCTCGACCATGTACACCACCCGTCAAGTCCATCGAACTTAAAACGTTTTTCATCAGTAAATATCACTTTCTTGAAGTCGACATGGTTTGTTATGCATCTTTTGGCGCTTCCCAGCCTTGCCTCCTTATGTTTTCTCGTTAGTGTAATTCTTTTCTTGATTTTAGCATACTTAAGTCCAATTTCGTGTAGCTTTCTTTGTACAGTTCGAACACTGACGTCAAGTTCATACCTCTCTTTTATTTTCTTCGCTGTTACTTTTTCTCTGGATGATAACAACCTCGTAACACTCCTCTTCATTCCATCTTTCTGTTCTCTTGGAAATTGTTTTTTTTCCGTCCTCTTTTCTTCTTCTTCCGCTCATAGTCATGTATTCAACTGTTGACTTCGCTAGCTTCATCTCAGCGGCGATCTTTCGGATGCTGAGCCCGTCTTCTCTCTTGATGACTTCTTTTGAATGCATTCTTCTTCAGAATTTTAATACGTTTTCGCATTGAATGGTAAAGATACTCAAATGTAATGATCAGGGTACAATTTACCTGGAGAAAATTTGCATATTGTAGACGTTCGACGACTAAATCATTAAAAAACCCGGAATGCCCGAAAAATAGTGTCGCCTAAGTTGAAGTAAAAATAAAGAAAACATGAAACCAAAGACAAACCTATCAATCAATGTTCATACCATTAATGAACAGTTACTGCTGAACTACCTACTCATCAACACAAAAGCTCTCGGCAGCAAAAAAACACCTTTAAGCACACTTTTCAAAGTGTCCCAAAAATAGTGTCGACCCCCTGTATATTGCTACAGACGGAACTGGCCTCGAGGACAAAAAACGTTCCGCGCAGCATGCGAACCATGATGTCTTCAACAAACTTGCCCAACGGAGTTACGACACTACATTGAAAAAAGGCGTGACCTAGGGTCTCCACCTCCGCACTGCAGCGAACGCAGTTTGGCGACTTTACCAAACCCGCCGCACAAAGTCTTTTGGTCCCTCGAATCATCAGCCAGGTGAGTGATGCCTCAGTGTTAGTGAGACATTTCAGCCCGGACGCCCAAAGCCATATGCAGCGAGCCTTCGGCTTCGTCAGACCGAGCTCGCCTATCTAGTCATCCTGAACGTCTCCGCTAACTAACACCTGATATAATGCCTTACGAGACAACGGCTGGACGTCAAAGAGGCCACCCTTCGCCCGTAAGAGTCACTTGAGGGCAAGCCGACATTCACAATAGAAAGAGCCCTCGCCTCGAGGCGTACGGCCGGCCTCCTCCTCACACGAGCACACATTTCTCAAGGATGGAAAATTTTTACGGGCGTCTTCCTTCCAGAATTCGCCATTCTCATCCAATTACATACACATCCGGTCTAGATAAGTAATGTGAAGCGTATGTCGACGAGTCTCAACGCAAGGCACGCCCAGACCGCCATCAGAGGGATGGAGGTAACAGATCTCGCGACTGACCATGGCGTCCTTGCCTCCCCACAAGAAGGAGAACAAGAGCCTTACAAACGCCAATAAAGTGTCAGATGGGAGTGGAAGCACGGGAGTCGGTAAAGGAGAATCGGGTAGATGTGCGAGGCACATACTTCCGCCCTCTCTTTAAGGAAAGATTCCTCCGAGTCCACAGACGAACTGCGACCTCGGCCTTCTGTCGCACCTCTGACCAATTCATTTCCAATAGGAGGTCGGGACCGAACCAGACGCCGAGTATCTTGACCGGCCCGTCCGTCCAGAGGAAAGATCTGGGAAGAGAAACTCCCTTTCACGAAACCAACCGCAAGCCAACAGACTTATCGCGGTTGATTTTGGCCCCTGTCACCATCTCATAGCCTTTGATTTCTTTGCTGACTTCGTTAATTTCGGCTCTGCTCGACACAAGAACCGAAACGTCATCAGCATAGGCGTAGTATCTGGCCGAGGTGGTAGCACCAAGTAAGGAGGACCGGATTCGTCTTCAACTTACGCAGGAAAGGTTCCAACACAGGAGCGTACAGCAATGGAGACAACGGACAACCTTGACGAATGGACCGAGACAAAATGAAAAGTTTCGATCTTACCCCATTCATTTCTACCAGCGCATCGGGGGTCGCATACAGCAGTCAGATCCAAGTGCGAAAGTCCGGCTCGAAAACGGCGGCCGAAAGAACAGCCTCCAGAAATCGATGGTCAATCCTATCGAAAGCCTTGGATTGATCTAAATTTATCAGCGCGGCTAAATAGGCATCGAACTGAGCAGCGCTCAGACCGGGCTCCCTGGTAAACAGCTCCTGAAAGTAATCACGGAAAGCCTCACAAATGCCCACGTCTGTAGTCACAGTCTGCTGGTCCAGCAATGTGATGCTCACGATATGCCGACTAGATGCCCTACGAGCTTCCTCTACACGCAATGAAGTGGCCATATTCGTAGCCTCGCAAGACATTCTTTTTAGCCTAGCCCTACCAAAGCTTGATCCTTATTGATAAGCAAGGAGGCCAGCTCCGCCTTAGCTACGGCTACGTCCCCACTAACATGGGATTTTATCGCCCGAACAACATTTTCCTCACAAGACTTTTGCGCTGCTAACCCTGCTAGATTGAGTCGTCGACTAAAATCAGCAGCAAAAGACCTAAGTTTAGATTTCAAAGAATCCCACCACTTATTCCCAAGCACAGCCCCCGACAATTCCCGCTGTAGCATTTTTAATAAAAAAGATGGTCCCGGAAATCTTGTTCACCAAATAATGATGCGTTCAATTTCCAGTACCCAGCCATCTTAACCTTAGTCTTATCTAAGTTTACCCAAACCCGGACAAGCCTATGATCCGAGTAAACTCTAAAATGGAAACTTGGACATTCTAGGAGCCCTACGTCGACTCTCTTAACTAGAACTCGGTCGATGTTGCTTGCGCTCACCACCGAATCCGAGCTGTTTCCCCCTAGTCCAAGACCATACTACCTCCCGGGGGTGCACATTTCGATACTTATCGACAAGATCGAACCCGTTGATAAAGTCTCGAAACGGTTTCACATCCGGATTGTTAGTACTCGCTTTTTGCCCTATACAATCTATATCGGGATCAAGGATGGCATTCCAATCACCCGCTAGAACTGCCGAACGAGATGTCATCAAAAATGGCTCGATCTGCCGAAACAAAACAGGCTGCTGTGCACAGTCATTGCGCGCATAAACCCCAATGAGACGAAGAGCTTTATCCTATATGGTAATATCCAGCACGCAAAGCCTGCCCGCAGGATCTGCGAAGACAAGAGCACACACCGCATCCAGACACTTGCTCACCAACCAGGAAACACCCCTCGAGCGTCCATCAAAACATGCTGAGTAGAGGACGAACCTCTTAGACAGAATGTCCTCATGGTCGCGAGATAAAAAATAGGTCTCCTGTACACAACATACATCCACTCCGAGGCGCTGAAGATCACAATCGAGTCTCGCCCTTCGAGACTTCAACCTCAGGCCCCGGACATTTAAACTTGCTAACCAGAGTGTCATTATCAGACCGAATTAGGGTTGGGACACTCGTTTGAATATGGTCGGAGTAAGGATACTGACAGCCTCTCCCGTAGACCCATGACCCATCTCATTTTTGATGGTACTGTCTTGGGAGATTCCGCCTATATCCCAGGGAAATGTCAGTTTAATAGCTCTATATAGAACTAAAAATGGGACCCTCCCTGCACAAAACTGTTTTAAATGTTTTAGTTGTTTGTTTTCAGCTATGGCGATTGGTAGGGACATTTTGTATGAGATGATAGCCTCGTCAAACATCGCCCAAGCCTGCTTGGCTCCAGTACCAGTTCTTATAACTGTAAGAACCCTTTGGGCATTCGGAAAGTTTTGAGGCTCTTCTACGTCCAAATCCGCGTAATGCCTGATTGAAAGTATGTATTTGAGATCTTTAAAGCGGTAGCCATAATCCTTGGTTATCTCGGCTTGTACAGGGGAAATCCGATACACATCCTCCCTCGTGTTGTAAATGTACTTCTGTGTCTTTTTTCTTTTGTCTTTCAGTTCCTGTGTGGGGCTTCTCTGTCATTTGGAAGGAGAAGGTGGCATTTCAGCATTTTTAATGGAGGAAAGGCTAGGAGTTTGAAGACGGGTATAGGAGGATCTTTGTCTGTAAGGGCTGGGATCTCTACTGAGTGGAAGTGGTTTAGAAGGTGTTGCCAGAGGGGAAGGTGTTGTCAGAGTGGAAGTTTGTTTCTTGGGTGAAGGTGTGGACAGGGCAGAGGACGTTGAAGGAGTAGGATTTTTGGAAAGGGTCTGTCTTTGATGGCTTACTTTTTTCTTCAAATCCTTGATTTTTTTCTGTTTTTTTCGTATCCTGGGTCATATTTCTTCTGCTGTTCTTTGAAAGTCTGCTTTGAGGCCGAGGCATCGCCCTTAACGTTGCCAGGGGGAGTGTAGCTGTTTGTGCCTTTCGTCCTTGGGGCTTCATGGGACTAAGGACCCACTGTCTGGCGCTTCCCTCCGTCCTTACCAGCAACCAGCCATTCCCCTCCACCTTCTCCACAACTGCACTAGCAGCGGACGAAGGCTCTTTAGGGAATGTGGACTTAGAAGTGGAGCCAACCGGAGGTTTATCCTTACCGGCCCCGGAAGCTGGCATGCCCATTACAGGAGAAGCGGATGTAAAGACGCGGTCAGAGGGGGATTTTGGTCAACTGAAGCTTGACTCCCAGTGGCCTTCTTCTCTGGGGAGGAAGAGGAGAGGTGACCAGTCTCTCCACACTTCCAACATACCAGTTTGCGGACGGTCACAATGACCGGCAGCCTCAAGCTCCCTACTTCTAGACAGTTGGGGATGGAGAGGAAGGCTTTTCGATCCAACAATACATCAAAACTCCATACCCGTTCAGGCTATCGCAGGAAGTGTCCAGTATCTCGCAATACTGGGATAGAAAAGCAGCGTGGCGTTCCCCGATAACCAAGTAGGGACCTCGTATATTGCTACGTGGTCCTCCTTCGGCCTTCATACTCATATGCAAGATCAAGTCTTTCGTTATCAGATCTCGACTTGAAGCGTCGACACAGTATTTCGGCGTGGGTAACAATATGTCCCACATGAAAAAAAGCTGGCTCTCTTCACGATTCTGAGGGGCTTAAACCCCAGGGACTCCAGTGACTTCGCCACTGTGTCTTTCGTCAAGTGAAAAATTTTGCGCGTACACAAACAATTAGTCATAAACGAGCAAAACAAATAAATATCCACTAAAATAGAATGGAAGACAACAGTTAAAAAAAAAGCAAAAACAAACGCTATACGAACAAAGACCCAAATAAATTACACAAAATAAGGTAAACTATAAAGAAAATGCTTTAAACAACTATAATCCTTTTTAAATATATATAAAAGTAAAAAGGACAAGTTACAAAATACA